CACACCTTCTTAATGAAAAAAATATTGAAATTTTTCCCTCTGTGCAATACACGTGGTCACACATTTTAAAAGATATGCTGAGTGTATTGGAGACACACATTGACTTTGAGAGACTATTAGAAGAAGTAAATAATCCAAACACTATCTCTTTATATATCTCTATCAGTTAGGATCAGAAGCAACCAATCTTCCTGATATATCACAAGGTATACAGTCACGTGACACTACTCACTGATCACGTGATCACAGGCTAGTCTGATGGTTTGAGACGAGCGATAGATCATCAAGCAATGAGTCTGCCTCAGTCTCCAGAGACGTTTGGCTTAAAGAAACAAATGATGTAATAGTGATGTAATTAATGTATTATTAATATTGTTACTATTATTAGGATAAGATGATTGATTGGGTAATTAGTGTGGGCGTGGTCTTACGAGATTTGATGTATATTAATCATCAAAATTTAATGGAATTACTAATCAAGGTAATAATAATAATAATAATAAGTATTATTTTTACTTTTTCTCTCAGTATTTCATTTATTAGTTTATACAGTATATTTAAATTACACACAGCTGGACTAGTATTAATACATGAAATATTGTCCAAGTAAATATTATGTATGATTAATAATATACTCCTCTCTCTCTCTATCAATTCTTCAATTATGGAAGAAAAGTCCCTGGAGAGAGAAGTGGTTAATTCTTGCAAGCACTTTGCTCATTTACAAGAACAGCTCAAACACATTGTCATGGAGAGAGATGTACTAGCAAATGAAAGAGACAAAATGTCCGCCATAATTTGACACCTTGAGTCCTAGCTATCCATCCTCCGACAGGGCGGGGGTGGGTGTGAAAAGACTTCATCCTCAGGCCGACTCCTCTCACCTAATTTACATGCGACGACCGCTCAGCCTAGACTGGAGAACAGGCGACTCACTGATCCTTATTTTAAGGATTTAAATCCGAAGCATCCTCCACAGCATAGACCCTCAGATCCTAGTCTTAGATACCTCTCTCACCACACAGCTGGAGCAACACGTCCTAATAATCTACCACTTGGTATTGCTCCAGGTGGTAGTCATTATCCTCCTTCAATATCCTATCAAGACACTCCTCTACCTCTTGACGTGAGAGTACCGCCCACATCAAGAATGTTCCGTCAGTCGCCTGGTTCTGATTCGTCAGCTGATGGTCTGACACCAAATTATTTTAAAGTGAGTGGACAATAAATAAAACTTCTATATGTACATGTACATGTAATAAGGATAAGG